CTCTTGCCCCAATAATTATACTTCTTAAAGAAAAAAAAATTCTACGGATGAAACCATCCATTTGAGTCTTTTGAGGATGATGTCATCAACTGGCATGGCTTGATGGGCTGTGTCATAGGGCCTCCATCTTTCAGGGTGACGAGATGACTATTTGGAAGGAGGTAACTCTTTCTGCTCAGCCCTGTCCTGTCTTTCTCTCAGTCATTCATCCCACTGACTGTTCAGCCACTGACTAGACCACCAACCTTTCTCACCATCCATGCCCACTGGGAATTTGCTGCTAGGATTCTGTCAGGTGTCATTTCTGCCATGGGGTTCCCATACATAGACTCCCAATCGTATCTCCTCTTTTGGAGCTCCTTATCATTGCCTGTATTTTTGTTCTTGACCACAGCAACAACATCTAACCTTTCCTTGTATTTACTTTTAGTTGACAGGACACTTTTCTTTCTAGTCACTTCAGAGATTTCTAATGCTATTTCTTGGTTAAGGTCTCCAAACGCAGACTGAGAGCTATTTTCCTTAATCCCCATGCAACTGCTCCGGGCTGAGCTTCGATAATGAATGACTCTTTGGTATCTGTACTGCTGCAGATGGTAGGTGCCCTGCCGATTTTGCCTCCCCTCTGTCACTCTGAATCAAAGTACCAAATGGATGTTTCTAATATCCATTTCCACAGCATTTATCATCAACAGTGGGATGAAGAGTGCTGATGAGTTTTTGTGTCCTTGTGGGTAAGGAAGCTGTGCTTCAAAAGGCACACCATTGCTAGCATTTCTTGAAATAATAAAACTAAACATTTCTCAATATTCAAAATCCACCTTAAAAAAAAAAAAAGAAAACTCCCGCAAGGGGCTGGAGCGATAGCACAGTGGGTAGGGCCTTTGCCTTGCACACAGCCAACATGGCCGACCCAGGTTCGATTCCCAGCATCCCATATGGTCCCCTGAGCACCGCCAGGAGTAATTCCTGAGTGCATGAGCCAGGAGTAACCCCTGAGCATGGCCAGGTGTGACCCAAAAAGCAAAAAACAAAACAAAACAAAACAAAAAACTCTTGCAAGATTGCCTGCTTAGGAAAACAAAGAGTCTATCACATTCCAGGGACTGCGGCAATAGCAAAAAGTTTCTTTTAAAACTAAATGATGCCTGTACAAACAATTTCTTCCAGTTTCGAGAATTAGAGAAAATTGACCATGGATGTTGCTACATGTGAGGTGACTCATTAAGAAAGGAGCAAGCTTGGGGTCAGGGTGATAGTACAACAGAAGGGCGATTGCCTTGCATGCGGCCACCCCAAGTTTGATCTCTGGTGCTCTATATGGCTCCCCAAGTCCAGCCAGAAGTGATCTCTGAGTGCAAAGCCAGGAATAAGCCCTGAGAAGTCAGGTGTTACCCTAAACCAAATAAAAGGTGGGGGCAAATTCTGAGCAGAGAACCAAGAGCTGAGATATAAACCACTAAAAATGGCTAAATCTGCAGTGAATTCAGAGAGACTTTAAATTGCAACTCTTCTATAATTTAGGGATTAGAGGTATGTTGACAAATATTCTATGTTCAGAAAACTCTAGTGTGTCTGTTTACCAAAACACAAATATCATTTTCGGAAAATATGGTATATAATACATGAGAAAATGTCATAATGATTTCAAACTCCAGTTAAGAAGTCCCTAGCAAGAACCCCAGGTCTGTTAATAATAATTACGCATTCATTTTCACTCATTGGCCTGTAACTTTCACAAGGTATCAACCTTATGTCAGGAACCTCCACTACTTGAGGAAGTATTTCTAGAGATGAGAGTGGGGAAGAAAAAGTACATTTCCCTCTTACCTCCCGGCTCTCAAATTTACAAAGCAAAGCAAGAAAGATAATTCTTTATATTTGTACAAAGTACCCAAATGCAGGGCTAGAGCGATAGCACAGCGGTAGGGCGTTTGCCTTGCACGCAGCCAACATGGCTGACCCGAGTTCGATTCCTCCGCCCCTCTCGGAGAGCCCGGCAAGCTACCGAGAGTATCTCGCCCGCACGGCAGAGCCTGGCAAGCTCCCCGTGACGTATTCGATATGCCAAACACAGTAACAACAAAATCTCCAATGGAGACGTTACTGGGCCCGCTCGAGCAAATTGATGAACAATGGGAGGGCCTGTACCTTTACCTTTACCCAAATGCCTACAGTTAGTCTTTCTCCAGCCACTTAATTTGCTTTAAATTAAAAAAAAAAGTTTTGAGGGTAGAGTCAAGCAATTTTTCTGTCAGAGGTCCTGCCACATCCACCTAGAGAATCCATAAAAACTGAACAAAGCCCAGCATCCTGCAAGGGGTCTTGTTGAGAAAATCCACTAGAGAATTTTCTCCATCACTTCAAGGAGATTCAACCACGTGGAAGGCTGAACTATGGACCTTCAAAGTTAAGGAGTATTTCCTTTGAGAGGGGACAGGGGAGAAGCAGGGACAGGAATCGGAAAGACAAGCCTAGTACCTGAGAGAAATTGCCAACCTCTTTTTGTATCTGTTGCACTAGGTTTTCTTCTCCTTTGGCTGGAGCTTTAGTCTGGTTTGCAGTCTCTGGGTGAGCGTCCTGTGATTCTAATCTGGCTCCTACTACACGACTATGGATTGTCCCACAGTTGGAACCTGAAGGTTGGGGCCTCTCAGGGCATAGTTGAGGCTATGCAGGTGTCAGGATAGAGCCAAGAGGATGGGCAGGAGGAAGCTGAGTACAAAGGGCTGATATTGACTTTATCCTGGGGCTTTCGAGGCTGAAAACTGACCCAGATCCTGGCAGCACAGAACTGTGGGCTATTGCTCTGGATGCAAGCAGGGACCTGCCTCTCCCCAGGAAACCTAAACCCAGAGGGTTGCAGCCTCCACTTCCATGGGCTTGCATCTGAGCTGACAGCTTCCTCTCACCCCCATAACAGACAGACTTGTGCTGAATCTATCTGTATATCAGAGGATGCCTTTCACATATTTCATTTCTAGATTGGATCTCAGGAGCTGCAAAGTCTCAGGACTTCTTAAAGCCAACAGAGATTGGTAGGTCACAGCCGACCTGGGCTGGGAGCAGTCACTCTGGAGGGGAGTACCACCCAAAAGACGGACATAGGCTTATCATCTTGGCTCTGTCTTGACTGCATAGCCTCAGCTCTGCCCCGAGAGGCCCCAACTTTCAGGTTCCAACTGTGGAACAATCCACAGTCTTGTAGTTGGAGCCAGATCAGAACCATAAGACACTCACCCAAAGACTGCAAACCAGACTAATCCTCCAACCAAAGGAGGAAAAATCCTAATGCAACAGATACAAAAAGATTCATTTTTGCGCCTATTACCCACAGTGTCGGGATGAGATTAGGAATATCACTCTACAACAGAGATGGGGAACAGTTGCCCCAAACTATTCTGGGAACGGTCACTCCTGAAAAAGCAACTGGGACCTGCTAGTGCAGAGGCATGGGGGCTACCAGACCCCCAGGAAGTAAGCCCTTCCCATCAGGCTATGGCTGGAGCAACCATCCTGAAACGGTCCCGACAAATGGGAAAAACAAACAAAACCCTGAACCTACAAAGATTAGCTTGTTGAAGAGCTGTGATTGATTAGGTACAAGTGACCAGACATGGCCCACACTAGTTAGACTGAGTCCCAGATCACGTGCTAGACACCAGCGGCCTTAGTTTAGAAGTCAGGTCAGCCAGACCTTTGTACTGTAGGAAAAATAAGGCTTGGGTACACAATCCCAGTGTTACCTGGGTGCACACAACTCAGAAACACAGAAACCAGGTTGATTTTGCAAGCATTTATGAAGGCAAGAAGTCAGAAGAGTCACAGGCACTAGCTCAGTATTATAATTGGGAACGCTGGATAACTGCTCAGAAAAGCTGCAATTCAAGAGTCCCACACTGAATTCCCATGAAGCACCAAGGATAATGAAAAAAATAAAGAAATCCAGCAGCATCAACAGATAGGGAAAGAACTCCAGGAAAGCCCTCAAGTACACCAGAACTTTCAACATGGCAAGCTTATAATTTTAGAGAAACAATTCTGACGTTCACTGAACTGAGGAGTTCACTGAAGAGTGATTCAATAAATTCGAAGAAAAATTCATTGAAACAGAATCAAAGGAGTTACAGAATACAGTAACAGGACTCAAGAGTAGACTGGAAGAAACTGAAAATTGAGTTGTTGACCTTAAGGGAATGGCACAGACATCAGTATTAAAGAAGAAGCAATAGAAAGAGATTTTAAAAGAGTGAAGAAAATTTCAGATATTTTATGAAATGTTGTCCATAAAAGAGGAACAATCTGCAAATCATAGGAATTCCAGAAAAAGAGGAGAGAAGATGACTGAATGGAGAAGAGATAATAGCTGAGATCTTCCCTAGCCTTAGGAGGAATATGTGTACAAAGATCCAACAGGTGCAAAGAATATGTACCAAAGTAAATGCTAATAAAATAACACCAAAGACACATCATAATAAAAATATCAGAAATGAGAGAGAGAGAGAGAGAGAGAGAGAGAGAGAGAGAGAAAGAGAGAGAGACTCCTTCAAGCACTGAAGGAGAAGCAACATCTTAAATACAAGGGAAATGACATAAAATTCATATTAGATTTTGTTGAGGATGGGCCTAAACACTCCCTGCCTCTGTCCCTGTAAACAGGGACTAGTTACTAGGTGTGGAGAAACTTGGCGTGAGAGCGAGCCATGTCCTGACAGCCGACTTTGACAGGTGGCTGAAGGGCCACCATGCTCTGGCGGCCAGCCTGGAAAGGTCAAAGGGCCACCATGCTCTGGAGGCTGGACTTGAGTGGAGGCTTGGGCCTGATTCCCTGTTTCTCAAGAGCTGAGATAAGGAACCGAAAAACAAGTAATGTTGGCAAAATAAAGTTGCTTGCGCAGCCTAATTAATATTGTTTACACAGCTTTTTAAACCTGCTGATCATTGCTAAAATAAGACTATATAAACCAGTTTGGATTATAATAAACTGGCTGTATGTTTCATACAGTCCTCCCTACCCTGTCTTTCAGCTCTCATTCCCTCTCTCTGGCTGATGTTCAACTAGCTTCGTAGGTCGGCAAGTGGCGCCTGAACAGGGACCAGAGCACGAGGGAGTCCATGAAGAGCCCCCAGCAAGAAGAGACGAGTTGTGAGTAATTTACAGAGAAATTTAAAGAGTTCTGGGGTATTGTGTACATTTTAACATCTGACCACCTTAAGTTTCCAACAACTTTGTCATCATTTATTTTGCTGGCTTTCTATTATCAAGAGTGCTCTCTTGACCCAATTTACAAGCAGGACACAGGCTGAGAAACAGAGGCAATCCCAATGGGCTGACAGGGTTAATTTTTGCCCTGGGGAATGCCCCTTCCTTTCTCAGTCCATCAGCTTTCTTCCTGCCATTCTTGAAAGGTCAGATTGACAAATCAAGTATATATGTGCGCACATGTATATGTGATGTTTGTTGTCTTGTTGTCTGTCCGTCTGTGTTGAGTACTCAAATATTAGAGTTAGGTTAAAATCAGAAGTAGAAATCCTTAAACCTGGACAAGCAGCATTTTCACAAGCGGTCGGAGTGACATGCAACTCCACAATTTAAAAACTCTAGGTGTCTTTGGGACTTGCTGACCAGGTTTAAAAAAAGATTTCTCAGCAGGATACTGAGCCTACAGAGAAATTTAGTTCTCAATCTAAAATTTCTTACTGATGTATATTAACAGTTGAAATTCTTTTGAGCTACAGAATCTGTATTATCTAGAAAAAAACTGCTGAATTAGAGCCTTAAACTAAAGTAAAATTAGAGTTCACAGTATGCAAGGCTTTATTATAAGCCTCAGACAATTTTAATAAAAGATTAAGATTAGGCCACTTTACTCAACAATAGAGGCACAGAAGCCACTAAAGTTTTCTTATGTTTCCATAAACATAACACTTCAAATGTTTTCTTACACTAATATGCTAATATCTGTATATCTGTTTACATCTGCATTGGACTGCTAAAATGTGAATTACAATAATTGTGGTACCTAAAAACAGCCAAAGTTATAAAATTGGTCGCAAAACGTACCCACCCTATCCATGTTTTATTTGATCTCTAAAACTTTTTCCTTTTTTTTCTTTTTGGGTCACACCCTGCGACACACAGGGGTTACTCCTGGCTCTGCACTCAGGAATTATGCCTGGCGGTACTCGCAGGACCATACTGGAATTAAACCTGGGTCGGCCTCATGCAAGGCAAAGGACCTACCCACTGTGCTATCTTTCCAGCCCCTGATCTCTGAAACTTTTGGTAAACATTTAGCAAGAAGTAATAATGGGTTGATCTCAGGTGTCAGCCTGATAACCTGAAGCTACAGCATTGTGCCTTTGTGAAAGTTTTAAGGACATCAGGTTTTCCCGCTGACATTTCAGACCAGTCTCAAGTCTTCTTGCTGAAGGAATAAAGGTGAGTCACTTTAAATTCAAGGCCTCTTCGGTTTTACTTTGCAGCTGAATAGAAGCAGCTGCCCTTCCTCCTGCTGCCTTTTCTCAGCTGAGGCCAATTAGAGCTGAGAATGATAACTCACAACCTTGCTGATTTCAGTTTTGAAGAAGTCAATATCTAGGAGTTAAAAGTTTTTGAATGCCTTTTTAAATAGAATATATCCAGAAAAACAAATTATGTATTTGTGGTAAAAAAAAGAATTTAAAGTTTCAGGTATTCTGGCAAGAGAGTTTTGTTTCAAGAATTATGAAAGAAAACAGGAAGTAAAAAAAGAAAACTAGAAGGAATATTTGACCTTCATACTAAGATAAATATAGACAATCCAAAATTTTGTTCCTTCCTCTATATTAATTTCAAGGACTGTCTAAAAATACAGGCTTAACCTGCATATATAGCTATTTGAGTTGTGAACTGAAAAAAATTAAAAAATTGAGTTTAAAGTCATTAAATAAATGAACTATAGAATATAGTCCACTGGGAGTGATGAACTGGGCAAAGACTGAAGGAATATGTAAGTAAATGAAATATATGCATGTTGTGAGCATTCTAACCCTCTTTTATCCGTGTTTTCCTACAGTTTGAAATCATGAGCTCTAGTATTTTTTTTGTTCTTTTCTGGAGAAACTGATAATTATTACTCTGCAACTTGACTTACCCTGCCTCACTGCCATTAAAAGATTGCTTTTATATTATTCCTCTGACTGAAGCTGATAGTAAGCGATTTGCTTTTAGTGTTCTTAGTCCTAATTTTAGTTAACCCTAGAACTATAAGATATCAGTGGGTAGTCCTGCCTCAGGGCACGAAAAATAGTCCTACTTTGTGCCAAAAGTATGTAGCTGCCGCTATTAGACCTGTGCGGGATGCTTCGCAGGAAATAACTATTATACATTATATGGATGACATACTTATAGCTGCTCAATGCACTTGTTAAGGTCTATTAGTTATTAAAGCAAGAGCTAATGCAGCATGTATACATTGCTCCTGAAAAAATTCGGCGGCAGGCTCCTTTTGAATATTTAGGATATCGGTTATTGCAAGATGTTATCATCCCACAAAAACTACAAATTAGTACAGATTCCTTAATGATTTTCAGAAGCTCCTCGGAGATATTAATTGGATTAGGCCATCTCTAAAATTGACTACAGGAGATCTTAAACCTCTATTCAAGATTTTGAAAGGGGAAGCTGATCCCACTTTCCCACGCTGACTGACTGCTGTGGACACACAGGCACTTTAAAAAGTAGAAGTTGCCATTCTGATGGCACAATTAAAATTTCTTGACTACTTTTGGCCATTTTTTCTGTGCATACTTAATACTAAATCTCAATATATGCCTACTGCTGAATGGCTCCATCTGCCTGCCACCCCTAGTAAGTCTCTTCTCTCATACTCCAAGGTCTGTGTACTCTTAATCCGTAAGGACAGGAGTAGAAGTCAATTACTTTTTGGTAAAGATCCTGCTACAATTATTGTTCTCTATACAAAACAGGAAGTTGATTGGTTGTTTCAAACATCTGAGACGTGGGCTTTCGCATTTTTTTTTTGCTGGAGTTATTGATAATCATAATCCTGCTGATAAGTTGCTTCAATTTTCATTGTGAACCTCCTATATCTTTCCAAAAATATTTGTTAATGATCCTTTGCCTCAGGCTTTAGCTGTTTTTAACTGATGCCTTTTCTAATGGTTATGCTGCGTATACCATTGATGGGGCCACTCATGTCTTCCCAACAAAAGAAGGAGCTGTGCAATTTGCTGAGTTACATGCTATTTTACCAGTTATTAAGAAATATAACCAAAGGCTTAGCTCATTTTGACTTACTCTACTCCATAGAGTATACCACAATATAAGGCAGATAATGGTCCTGGTTATTTAAATTAAGCATTTGCAAAATTTTGTGAAATCTTTGGTACCATACATATTGCCCGTATTCCTTATAATCCTCAAGGACAAGCAATTGTCGAGCGTGCCAATTGCTCTCTCAAGATTACGTTACAAAAATTAAAAAGAAAAAAGGGGAAAATGGTGAATTATAGGCCTACGCTACAAAACCTGCTAAATCATGCCTTTTTAACCCTGAGTATTTTAAATTTGGATCAAAATGGCCTATCACCATTAGATAAATTCTAGAAACACTCTCTGGGTCAATGTCAAATGCCTGAGGTCCTCTGGAAGGATCCTATAACTAATCAATGGAATGGCCCTGACCTACTGCTAACCTGGGGCAGAGAACATGTTTGTATATTTTCTAGGTCCTCACATGAAGCAAGATGGATTCTGGAGAGACTTGTCTGGCCAGTAGAGAAGGAAAAGGAAAAGACCTTTGAGGAAGTTGACCAAGAAACCAGGACACAGAGTGCTACCACAGGATGCCTACCTGGCCTCATTGCGAGCCAGAATGCAACCGTCTATAAGAACAAAGACATCACATGGGTCTCTTTGGCATCTCCGAGGAAATGGACAGTTTGGCAGTGGCTACTTTTGGATGACTGACTTCCCTTGAGGGAAGGACTGCATTTTGCTGAAGGACTGCAATAAAACATGTGGACATTGGTCATGACTAAGATAATTCTTCTTGTACTGACATCGGGACAACTTTGAACCAAATAGGCAGGGCGATGTCAATGTCCAGGTATCTGATAATGGGACTGAGCATTGGTTTGGAGGATCTCTAAAAGCATGTGTTCCTTTAGGGCATAATGATTGGTAAGGTCAATATCAGTATCATTGATGGAATAGTGCTCAAAATTGTACCTTGACTAATTGCATTACAGGCAAAGAGCCTGAGAATCGAGTTCTGTTTGTCCATCAACCAGCTTTTCTGTTCATCCCCACTATCTGAGGGTTGTGTGGATGAGAGTGGGATACAATTGTGGAAGGACATTACCAAAGTATTAAGTAGGGAAAGAAGGTTTACCAACATACTTATTGCTAGAATAAGTGCTCTAGAGCAAGAGAGGTACAGACAGCTCATATTGTCAGTCTTTTCACGGTCACGGTCCTCCCATTGTTCTTCGATTTGTTCGAGCGGGCCCAGAAACGTCTCCATCGTGAGACTTGTTGTTACTGTGTTTGGCATATCGAATACATCACGGGCATCTTGCCAGGCTCTGCCGTGTGGGTGAGATACTCTCGGTAGCTTGCCGGGCTCTCCAAGAGGGGCGGAGGAATCGAACTCGGGTCGGCCATATTGGCTGCGTGCAAGGCAAACGCCCTACCGTTGTGTCAGTCTTTTAAGTAGAACTATTGGCAAGGCATCGGGAATACAGAAAAACATAGAAAACTGGAGGAAAGGCTTACCATACCATGGGATACAGTACGACTCACTGGAGATGAAGTGCTTGTGTTGAAAGCTAAAACAAGCCTCAAAGGTTATAAAAAATATTAATTTGTGTTACTCATAAAAAATATGATGCTCAATATCCTGGGGAAAAAAATTAAGAATCATGTGCTTGGTCTTTGGGATTACGCAAATACTAGCTTATATTTATTACAATTGCACCAAGAGATTCTTGATATATCAAAAAATGAGGAGGGCATAATGACTGATTTTTTGCAAGCTTTTTAAAAGTTATAAATTTAAAATGTATACTTATTGATAGGATTGGGCAATGTTGTGATTATTTTCTTGCATTTTGTTTATTGTTATACTTTGTTTAAAAGATGTCATTTTTAATGTTCAAAGATTATGGTTTCACATATATGCGCTGCAGCTTAGGACTGGACAGCACATCCAGCTTTGAGAAAGGAAAGGGGGAGAATTTGGGGATGGGCCTAGACACTCCCTGCCACTGTCCCTGTAAACAGGGACTGGGTGTGGAGAAACTTGGCGAGCCATGTCCTGACAGCTGACCTTAACAGGTGGCTAAAGGGCCACCATGCTCTGGCAGCCAGCCTAGAAAGGAGGTCGAAGGGCCACCATGCTCTGGTGACTGGACTTGAGAGAAGGCTGAAGGGAAGGCTGGCTCGTATCCGCCTTGGGCCTGATTCCTTGTTTCTCAAGATGTGAGATAAGGAACCGAAAAACAAGTAATGTTGGCAAAAATAAAGTTGCTTGAACAGCCTAATTAATGTTGTTTACATAGCTTTTTAAACCTGATGATCGTTGCTAAGACTACATAAACCAGCTTGGGTTATAATAAACTTGCTGTATGTTTCATACAGTCCCGCCTACCCCATCTTTCAGCTCTCATTCCCTCTCTCCGGCTGATGTTCAACTAGCTGCACTGAATGAGGCAAGATTTCTAAAGGAACTCTGGTCAGGACACCGATCTGAATTATAGTGCTGTCCTTTCTGATGGTATGACCTTGGCAAGATCAACCTCAAGGTGACCTAGAGATCATGCCCCCTTGACCTTGGTCAAGGTCACACTGCAAAGATCACTTGAAACCATACCCCTATTGGGTGGGTGGGGCACTTGATCTTGACTAAGGTCATGGTGTGACCTTGGTCCAGGTAAGTATGTAACAATACCTCAAGGTGATTCACTAATAAAAAAAAATCCCCTCTCTTACCTTCGTTGAAGACTAAACAGGAAGTACCTGGGTGTTTTATCAGTCAATTCAGAAGTCTGGGGACGTCTCTGGATTCAGTCCACGCTCTGGAGCAGATCCAGATGGGTCTCTGAGAGGTCCGTCGGGCTGAAAGCAGCACTCAATGACTGACAATCCTGTTTAAATATCTGAGTGCCAGCACCACCCCTGATTGATTCAGCCAATCAGAAATGGGCCCTGCCCACAATTTCCACATCATTTTGACGGTGTGACCTTGGTCCAGGTCAAGAGCCCCTCCCAAAATGGACATGGTTTCCGGTCACCTTGGGGGTTGATCTTGGCCAAAGTCATGCGGTAAGAAAGGACGGTCCCGTAAACGAGAACGGACCGTCCCGGACAACGGTGCCGTTCTTTTTAACGGCATGACCCTGGCCAAGGTCAAAGGGCCCCGGCCATGGGGGAGCGATTTCCGGTTACCTTGAGCTTTGACCTTGGCCAGGTCACACCGTCAAAAAGAACGGCACCGTTGTCCAGGACGGTCCATCCTGGGTTACGGAGCCGTCCTTTTTGACGGTAAGGCCTTGGCCAAGGGCAAAGCTCAAGGTGGCCGGAAATCGCTCCCCTATGGCCAGGGCCCTTTGACCTTGGCCAGGTTCATGCCGTTAAAAAGAACGGCACCGTTGTCCGGGACGGTCCGTTCTCGTTTACGGGACCGTCCTTTCTTACCGCATGACTTTGGCCAAGATCAACCCCCAAGGTGACCGGAAACCATGTCCATTTTGGGAGGGGCTCTTGACCTGGACCAAGGTCACACCGTCAAAATGATGTGGAAATTGTGGGCAGGGCCCATTTCTTATTGGCTGAATCAATCAGGGGTGGTCCTGGCACTCAGATATATAAACAGGATTGTCAGTCATTGAGTGCTGCTTTCAGCCCAAAGGACGTCTCGGAGACCCATCTGCATCTGCTTCAGAGTGTGGACTGAGTCCAGAGACACCCCCAGACTTCTGAATTGACTGATAGAATACCCATGTGTTCATGGACGTACTTCCTGTTTGGTCTTCAACAAAGGTAAGAGGGGAATTTTTTTTTTATTAGTGAATCACCATGAGGTACTGTTACATACTTACAAACTTTCATGTTTGCATTTCAGTCATATAATGATTGGGTACCCATCCCTCCACTAGTGCCCATTCTTGACCACCAATGATCCCAGTATCTCTCCCACCCACACCCACCCTATTCCCTTCCACACCTGCCTCTGTGGCAGGGCATTCCCTTTTTTTTCTCGCTCTCCTTTTGGGTGTTGTGGTTTGCAACAGAGGTATTGAGTGACTGGCCATTGTGTTCGGTCTATAGTCTATTTTCGGCAGCCCCCAACCAGACCGGTCCTCCCAGGACCCTTTACTTGGTGTTCCCTTCTCTATTTGAGGTGCCTTTCCCCCTAGCATGTGAGGCCAGCTTCCAAGCCGTAGGGCAAACCTCCTGGTCCTTATCTCTACTACTCTTGGGTGTTAGTCTCCTATTCTGTTACTATATATTCTACAGATAAGTGCAATCTTTCTATGTCTGTTCAAGAGAGGGAAAATTTGAAGTAAACTGAAGGTATGCTGTGGGCACCTGTTTCTCTGTGAGTGTGTGTTCACATGCGCCAATTGATGCGCTGGTTTACACATGCCACCCGCCAGGCCTGGTGGGAGGTGAGACAGATCAAGTACTATCACTGTCACCTGACTGCAAGATGACCGACTGTCAGCTAGTCCGCCTCAAGTGACTCCTAGTCCAACAGCTCAACTGCGACTGAGTCCCCCGCCCATGCCCAGCTTCCAGATGGAGCTGCCCTCGCCACTTCTGCTTCTTCTCTCTTCTCCACAGACTCCCATGTCCCTGCAGGCCCGTGCACCGTGTGAGGAGGAGTGCTGTGAAGTCTGTCTCCTCGTACCCATCAAAAGGCCACGGCTTGCCTCAGACGAGGAGGACTCGGACCATTCCAGCACCGAGGGGAGACACGGCCAGGACAAAGGCAAGGGCAAGCATGCCCACCTCACGCCCCCAGCCACCTACCCTGAGGCTGCCCCGGAGTGCCACCTGGACACGTCGCCCGACTCTAGCGGCTCCGAGGACAACAAGGATGACGAGGCACACCCTGGCAGCTCCAAGCACCTGCCCTCCTCACTGCTGGATGGGCAATCGACCTTGAGCCGCCCTGTGCACAAGTCCCAGCACATCAAGCCGCTGCCGCTGCCCTTCAAGTCCTCCCTGTCTTCTCCTCGGCAGGAGGGCAAACACGCCGGCACCACCAAGAAAGTCTTTGATCCCTTCTTTGGGAAGGTCAAGAGGAAACGCCCCAGAAACCCTAGCCACTTGTACAACCCCCAAGGGCGCCCCCTGGAGTACAAGAATCTCCCCTTCAAGATCCCTCACCCTCACAAAGTCCTGTCCCAGGTGACCGCCTATTGCGACGCTGGCGAAGTCACCAAAGTCTTTCTGTTGCTGCACTTCACCCGGGGACACGATGTCCAGGAACGGATGGATGCCTTTCTGCACAAACTCGCCACCTTTCCCAACGTGTCCTTCTCGACCGTGTTCAATTTGCATCACACACCGCCCAGAGACCACAATCGGGCCACGGTGAAGGAGATGACCAGCAATGCCCTCCGTTCGCTGCGTGACACCTGGATGCTGCCTCAGAGACCGTTGGCGGAGCCCGTCACCGGCTTGGGCCGCACCTCTGACTTCAGGACGCTGCTCATCCAGTGTGCCACCCCCTATGAGCTGTTCCACATCACCAAGGAAGCCCTCAAAGTCTGTTTGGCCATGCCCAAGAAAGTCTGCGTCCGCACCTGTAAGTGTGACCAAGGGTCCATGTTGCTGAGTCTCTATGATGACACTGTTGCAGCCTACATGCGCTATCTATATGAGGACTCAGAGAGCAGCTCTGACGAGGACTGAGTAAGTAAGGAAAAAGTAAGAACAGAAATCCCACATGACCCAGCAATTCCACTTCATGGCATTTACCCACTAAACACACAAACATTAATTCAACAAGATAAATGCACATCTCTTTTTTATTTTTTTTCACTGCAGCACTTAGTCTAATAGTCAGGAGGTGTCTGAGGACAGAGGAATAAAGAAGTTGTAATTTGTAAGAAAAGATGAAACAATGCTGAAATGCAGACGTAAGTGCAGGGTATTCTGCTAAATGAACTAAGCCAGAAGGAGCACAAATACTTGATAATCGCCTTCATCTGTGTAATATAAAGAGACAAAAGAAGGGAACTGATAGTGCTGAACAATGAAAAAACCTTTGGCCCTGGATTATGAAACTGATTACCAAGCAGTGGGGGGTCAAGGTGGCGCAGGAGGATGATGAAGATCACATAAAAGATGATACAGGCACTATGGTGGAGGTTCTTGGGCACTTTGGTGGTCGTAGAAACTATACACATCAGTAACATAAGCTTTAACACTATTCTAACCAATGTTCCCCAAAATATAATAAAAGCTAAAATAAAATAAAAATCTTGAAACACTTTTATTTCCCCGTTGTCCAGTGTTCTCCTTTGAAGTAATTTTAAAAATGATGCTTTCAAGAACTAGCATATAAATAAATAGCTTCCAAGGCAAGTGGTCCTTTTCTCAAACACAAACACAAACACTGTCCTCCCATTGTTCATCGATTTGCTCGAGCGGGCCCAGTAATGTCTCCATTGTGAGACTTCTTGTTACTGTGTTTGGCATATTGAAAACTCTCGGTAGCTTGCCAGGCTGAGAGGGGTGGAGGAATCGAACCTGGCTCTGCCAGGCTGGCTGTGCACAGGACAGAAGCCCTAACGCTGTGCCATGGTTAACTAATGGAATTTCATCAGAATAGTGCAACTAAGTATTTCATTGTATGAAATTTTACCCTAAAATATGAGCTTTACCTAATATACATGCGTAAGTACTGACGCCTGCAACTTAATTTGACAGGCATAAAGAAAAGACAGCTGACAGATGAATAGAGCCGATATGTTTGGAAATAGACAAGTAAAGCAAAACAGTAACTGTGGAGTTAGGTACTGCGTATATAGATGTTAATTTAAACTACTTTTCTTTTTTTGAGGCTTCACTGGAGTTCTCAGGGCTAACTCCTAGCTCTGTGTTGAGGGATGACTCTTGGTGTGGCTTGAGGACCAAATGAAGTGTCAAGAATTGAACCTGGACACGAGCAAGGCAAAGAGCCTTATCTAGCATAGTATCATTCCTGATCTCTCGTTACAAACTTCCATCCACTTTTCTGTAGGTCTATGTATTTTACGGTACATAATTTTCATTAGAAAATACCGGGAGAAAATTTCATTCATATGCCACTCTCATTTTTTTGTTTCTTGTATATCTTTGTTACGGCATATTTATTTCTGTGACTGGTTTCGGAAGTTTATGAAATGTTAACCTTTTCCTCAGACTCAAAAAATGACTAGTGAATACAAACTACGTGGAATCAAGAGAGGATGTTGAGTACAATACATCTAGCAGGAGAACTGCTGATAGATCACGCCTCCCATCTGCCCTTCTCCCTCACTGAATTCACATGTTGAAGACCCAACTTCTAATCTTGACTGCCCTTGAAGATAGAGCTTGTAGTATAAGGTCACAAAGGTTAAATGAGATCATAGGGTGAGGTCATGATATAGGGTTTAGTGACTTTATAGATGAAGATGAAGAAGACCTCTTGCATGCGCTCCATGCTTTACATATGGAAGAAACATCACTTGAGGAGCGCACAAGAAAAGAGCCATTTGCAATCTAGGGAGAGAGCTTTCACTAAAACTCCAACCAGCTAGTGCCTTGATCTTTATTTTTATTTCCCAGCCTCGAGAACTATGAGAAAATAAGTACCTGCAGTTTAGGTTACCAAATCTATGGTATTTTTATTAGTGGCAGCCAGAGATGACTAATATGAAGTCTAGAAGCTAAACACTTGTGGATATTTAGGTAATGCGTAGGCAAATAAAACAGGGAAAAGAAGAGTTGATGATGATGAATCAGTACATTCAGGATTAGAATGACGGAATTTTATAACTCTAAGAAGCTTTAACAACCATGTTGTCAAAATGTCATCAAAACTCTCATTTTATGGATGAGGAAACAGAAGCTCACAGAGGTCAAGAGATTTGTCTGTGGCTCTTCAGAGAGATTAGTGGCAGTCAAGGATGTTTTTAAACCCAAGTCTCTTGGCTTGTGTTCCTTCGACCACATCATGCAAGTTTCACTACACCAATCCCTTTACGTATTAGCATTCTAAAACCTAATTTCTTTCCTTCTGTTCAAGTCCTTTTTTCAGGGATTCCACTCCAGTTTTCTGACTCTTCTTTTCCTTTCCACACTTAATTTTTATCACCAAATAATTTTCCAATACAGAATAAAACTTAAAGAGAAGTCTTCTAATCAAACGCAAAATATATGTGAGTAAACAAAAAGCAAAGTACAAACACACATAAAACCCAACACTTAAATTTAGACAAATATTAACTTAATCATGCGTCTATAAAGGAGGATTGTGTACTTAAAGATAACATACATCCACACAAAGCATGTTACTTCTGAAAAGTTACCCACGATGACACAGAAAGATGGCCTAGAAAAATAGCTAAACTACTTTCCAAGTCAATCATTTGTGAGCTAATTTAGCATAGCACTACATCCTTTTAACACTCAAAATATCCATTTTGACAAAATATTCTCATAAACACGCTAAGAACACCAGGTTAGCAAGTTTTGGAATTTTATAAAGCAGTAAAATAATATTTTGTAACATTTAAAAAGCATATAAAATGTAAAAACTGAAAAATAACTGAACATTTGTTTGTTTAAAATGCTAACAGAACCCTTTAATTTCATTTTCCACTAGGTAAACTCAGAATGTCAGAAGATAAACTGACTCTTAGTGATGTTGATAGAATGAAAATGTGCCAATAATACCTAGAAATTGTAATAATTTATTATTACAAATTGGTATTTACTGTTTTAATATTTTTTAAATTTTCTACATCCATTTAGCTTATTATACATAGCTCCTTAAGGAAGCCACAAATAGTTAATTCCATAACTTAATATTTATGTCAGTAGTTTTAATTTACAATTATATAGTATGGAGATCAGACGAGATCGGGCGCGTTCAGGGTGGTATGGCCGTGAGCTGGAGCAATAGCACAGCAGGTAGGGCGCTTGCCTTGCAAGCAGCCAACATGGCCGACCCAAGTTCGATTCCTCTGCCCCTCTCAGAGAGCCCGGCAAGCTACCGAGAGTATCTCGCCCGCACGGCAGAGCCTGGCAAGCTACCCGTGACGTATTCGATATGCCAGTCACAGTAACAACAAAGTCTCATGATAGAGACGTTACTGGGCCAGCTCGATAAAATTGATGAACAACAGGAGGACAGTGACAGTATAGTATGGAAATACAGTAATGTGATTTATTTATTTGTTATCACAAAGTCCACAAAGAAAGTGCTGCAAGTTATGGAGATAATTTCTAGAGAGTAATTTCAAAAATATTTTGAGAAAAGACAGAACTGTTTAGAACTGTAGACATATTCAAGGGCATTTTATTTTGAAAGACTCAACATCTGATAAATAATGCTCAGGTTATATTTGAAAACAAAATAAGATAAAACAATAAAAACAGTCTATTTTCTGGTTACACTTGTGACATGACCAAATCAATATTTGCATTATTGGAAGCTATGGTTCAGTCTGAAGCACTGAGGATACTGCAGACACAAAAACTGTACTTTTTGTCTTCACCAAAAGCAGCAACAAAATTAGAGGAAACAATCTACTTCAAACCATTATTTATGGCTTTAATGGTGTAAAATGATCACATTTTCTATATCCAAATAAGTGAGAAAAGTGAACAGAAATGTGAAATGACTGACTTATTTCCTTTAGGGAATTATCAGTAGAACACACAGCCATAATGGGACCTTCAAAAGTTAAGCAGAATTCTATCTGACCAATCTTCCTAAGGCTAATGTTTTGGTGGAGCTTCTTAGTTTTAAAGGAGGCATCAACTCCTTCCATTGGACATTCAGAACACTAAGGGCAAATAACACCTTTTGTCTTCTTGTTCTTTCCATTTTTCCGGTAAATTCACCTGAGTGGAATGTGATTTGGGGTCCACCTGTTGAAATGCTGTAGTAGTCAATGATATGTTTCAAAATTAACAAGGCTAGAAATATGTAGTATAAAATGGTTTGATGGAGGAAGACTCAAGCTCAAGACCCAGTTCTACTTCTAGAACCTCCAAAAGATAATTAACTTCAATGAAACATTGATTTCTCATCTGCAAAATCATCTTTGTTATCACCAACTCTGGGTTGCTTACTTATTTCAACTCATTTTACACTGAATAACCAAGAAGGCACCGTTGTTAAGTCACATTTTTGACTCACAAAGAAAACTGAGTGACCAAGAGGGTAACTGACCCAAAGATAACACTCATTTCAATGAGTTGTAATATCAAACACAAAGATGATTAGTAATGGGAGACTGGAGAAATAGTTCCATGGGATGGGCATTTGCCTTGCATGCGGCTGACTGGGTTTGATCCCGACTATTCCATATGGTCTCCTTAGCTCCTCCAGAAGAAATACCTGAGTACAGAGCCAGGAGTAAGCCCTGAACACTGCTGGGTGTGGCAAACACACATACACATGTGCACGTGCACCCCCCTCTCCCCCCCAACACACACAACATGATGATTTGTAATGAAAGGGATCTCTGAGATCATTTAGTTCTAAATTTTACCTATAAGGTTCATGAAATAGTCGATGCAGTGAAGGTACTGAGTCTCTTGTTTCTTATTCTGACAACCCTTTAAGATCAACTCTTTCTGCTTCGGTTCTTGTGAAGCAATTTTTATGTTATTTCAATTCTCTGAGTAAAGTTCCTCATGGATAGACATGTGGAAAACAGTCTAACACACATCTTAAAAATTAGGTTGGAAAACAGAGAATACCACCAAGTCAGGATATAGTATGGCTAGGAAGTTCAAGGACAACTGCTTAACAATGACTATGATGATACAATAATGGATGGCGATTGTACCATCTTATTCATCTCATTCTGATTCTCTTCAGAGCACTGTGCCAAAGCATCCTATGCACATTATCTTGTTTAAAGCTACATTTACCTTAAGGTGTGTGCTTTAAAATGATACTCCATTTTAAAATCACAGAATCACTGACCATGAGATTTATACAATGCAGTCTTTTGGGGAGTCAAGATTCTAAGTCTAAGTTCTGCTGACCAAGTCGAAGGTCCTACTAAAAAGGATAAAATGAAGGCCAGTCAGATTAGTTAATGTGGGTTTAGGATTAGACATGCAGAATGCAAGCATTCTCTCTTCCAAGTGGCCTTTCACTACTTTTTGAAAGAAGATTAACCTCAACTCTTTCAGCAGAATCTCAAGTTTATTTGACAAAATGGATCTTAAAAGACAATAGCTGAATTACCCTGTAGTCCATTAGTTACTCTACAGAA